TATATATAGGGCTGTAAGAGTTCTTTTCATTAAATTACATTAGAAATAATAAAACTTCACTAGCACTCAAATCTGTCGAATATTAAAAATATGACATGGTGAGTCACATGAACTATTTTGGTGCTTTTATATCCTTTTTTTTTTAGCTTCTGTATGTATTCATATATGGAAATAAGCAGCATGGAAATTCTTCCAAAAATCTGAATAAAAACCATGCAACATGAGGGTAACCTGAATGAATAAAACATTAAATGTTACAGAAGAGTATTTTGGCGAGATACCTCTTTAAGAGCCTAATGGTTAGCGAGTCGGACTTGTAACCCGAATGTCGCGGGTTCGAGTTTCAGGTCCAGCAGGGATTGTAGGTGGAGGGAGTGAATGCCCAGCGCTCTCTTCCACGACTGAGGTGAGACCCTTGAGCAAGAACTGAACCCCCAACTGCTCCCCAGGTGTCGCAGCAAAAATGGCTGCCCACTGCTCCGAGTGTGTGTTCACGGTGTGTGTGTTATATAGTATTATATATATTATATATAATGAATATAAAGGGCTGTAAGAGTTTATTTTATTAAATTAAATTTAAAATAATAGTTAAATAAAAAATCCACTTGCTCTCAAATCTCAGTAAATTTTTTAAAATTAATTTAATGGGTCCTTCCTGAATAAAAGTCTCAAAAAGTAAAAAGTGACCCCGAACTAACCTCTGAATGGTATATACTTCTTAAAGTGCTGTTAGAAATTATTTTATATTTATTAAAATAAATGTATTTTAATTAAAGTTTATTTTAAATATTTTATTAAATAAATATTTACATAAATATTCATTTGTTGTATTAATAAGTAAACATAGTGTGTATATATATATATATATATATATACTGAATATAAAGGGCTGTAGAATGGGTGATATGCAGAGCACAAATTCCAAGTATGGAACACCAGACATGGCCACACGCCACTTTCACTTTTTCACTTTTTGATCAGTTATGTCCCACGCTCTGAGCTGATTGATGTGGTTGAAAGGTTTGGTCTGGTTTGGTCCGACTGTAGGGTTCGAGTGAAGTGGGAGACACACCCCGCTCCCAGCAGCATGTGACTCAGAATAGACACTCATGTTGATGTTGTGACCCCGGCGGCACCCATCGGGGTGAACTGCCCGACTTCAGCCGACTCGTGCCTCGGGCGGAAGGATGAATGTGGCTTTGTATGTGTGAAAGAGTGCCAGATGCTACGCTCAGATTCCAGTCTGGGGTCAAACGGACAGATGTAAACGACACCCATCTGATGCTTGCGAATACTTTGTGTCTGATTGGTGAAGAGCTGATGTGGGGTTCTGTGCTGAAGTGAGCTCATTTCACTGCCCATTCTGCCACCTAGTGGTCGCAACTCATAGCATTTCCACTGCAAACAAATAGTTAATTTACTAATTTTACTAAGAGCCTAGCAACTGCATAGCAACCCACTAAAAACTAACCAGAGCCATTTTTCAGCAGAACCAGAACACAATAATCTATAGCCTTTCTTCAGAAGACTACTGTAGATATTACATTTTCTTCAAAGTAGAAATGTATTTTTAATGTTGTCTTTTCTTTCATTTTTTTTACATCTAAAAAATAGTAAACTTTAAAATGAAAACATGGGATGAAAATTCAAATCAGTGGCCTAGAAAAAAGCAGTTATATTATGGGCTGTGTCGCCCCCTCATGGTGGCTGCAATGTTGAGCGCAAGACACTTTTATAACGCTTCAAACGGCTGAATTGGTCATTTATGGGCAACTAATATGTCTGCAAGTTGAATATTTCTATATATTAAAATGATATTATTGTTCAAATGTCTGGGGTCTGTAAGATATTTTTTAACTGTTTAAGTCTTTTATGCTCACCAAGGCTGCATTTATTTGATGAAAAATACAGTAAAAACAGTAATATTGTGAAATATTATTATAATTTAAAATAACTATGTTCTATGTGAATATAGTGTAAAATGTAATTTATTCCTGTGATGCGAAGCTGAATTTTCAGCATCATTAATCCAGTCTTCAGTGTCACATGATCCTTCAGATATCATTCTTATATGCTGATTTGCTGCTCAACAAACATTTCTGATTATTATCAATGTTGAAAAACAGTTGTGCCGCTTCATGTGTTTGAGGAAACCGTGATTTCCACTGTTCATCTTTAATGAATAGAAAGTTGAAAAGAACAGCCATTATTTGAAATGGAAATCTTTTGTACCATTAATGTCCTTACTGCCTTTGAGTCCTTGCTGAATAAAAGTATGAATTTCTTGAAAAAACTAAATGGTAGTGGTAGCATCAGTAATCAGTATCTGTGTCTTGATTTGATCCGCAGGACTCTGATGCCTCTGTTTGATCCAGACTCTGGATTACTAATTGTGTCTGGAAATGTATGTAACTATTTATAAACACACTTTGACATGTTTAATGACTGAAATCATTTGTCATCAATGTTAATATCATTATTAATGGTGTTTTCTCAGGGTGAGAGTGTGATCGACTGTTTTGAGGTGAACAGCAGTGAGCCCTTCCTGTCTCAAGGTAACACAGATGCTTTTTCTTGAGGCTCTTGCTCTTTCTTCATATTCATGAAGCTGATCTCTCTGTGTCGTGGTCAGTGAGTCACTGTCTGACGGACCTGTCGACCCGTGGCGTGGCTCTGGTGCCGAAGCTCGCTCTGGACGTCAGCTGCTGTGAGGTTTTGCGCCTGCTGCAGCTCACTGATAACTTCATAGTGCCCATCAGCTACCAGGTGCCTCGCAAGGTGAGAATGATCCATCCTGGTCTGCTGAACTGACTGGATAAAAGCTCCTAATGCACTTGGTATATCCTAAACCAATTATGATTGATAAGCTGACAACATATGTAACAGGCATGTGATTTCCTTACTTTCCGACCTGAAGTATGACGCACATGAATTGCATAAATCCACATTTGTAATGAGAACCATTTATACAAATATCAGCAAAACGGAATCTTTAAAGTCTCCTAGTGGTTTTCTGCTGAAATGAAATTTGTATGGTTTAATGTTTGAAAGCAAAGACATTGAGTCAACTACAAAAAGCCACATTTTAATTTTACTATTGTTCTGTAAAATAAAAAAAAGTATTATTATAATTATAATTCAATACTTGTTTTTTTATTTTTTAGTACACTAGTGTTAATGCAATAGAAATATATTTCTTTAATTTGCTTAATTTTTATCATTTAAATAGTAGTCCAATAAAACAAAAAAACTTTTAAAATAAAACAAATTAAACAGAACAATTATTATAATGAATAAATGTATTATAAAAATGTATTATTAGTAGTAGTAAATACAAGAAATTGATACAACTATAAAATGCAATATTTTAATTTTCCTATTGTTTTGTAAAATAAAAAATTTATTATTATAATTATAATTCAATACTTGTTTTTTTATTTTTAGTACACTAGTATTAATGCAATAGAAATATATTTCTTTAATTTGCTTAATTTTATCATTTAAATAGTACTCCATTAAAACTAAAAAAACAGAACAATTATTATAATTAATAAATTTATTATTATTATTATTATTATTATTATTATTATTAAATGCAATAAACTATAAAAAGCAATATTTTAATTTTCCTAATAAATTTTTATTTTATTTTACAGTACAGTACTATTTTGCAACAGTAATATATTTCTTCATTAATATGTTTATTTTTTAGAATTAATAGTCATTATAATAGTGACTATTATTATTATTATTATTATTATAAATTTTTATTACAATAGTATCATTGCAGACGTAATATATTTCTTTATTAATTTGTTTCATTTAATTATTTAAATAGTAATAACACAAAACTAATGATACTAATGATAATAATAATAATTATTATTAAATGTTTTTATTTTACAGTACAATTATTTACAAAATTATTTACAATTATTTACAATAACAAATATTATTAGTATTATTGTATAGTCATATTGAATGAGTGGGAAAAAAATTCCTCTTTTTTTCCCCCCCCAAAACCAGCCAATCTGAAGATGTTTGATGTTTTAGCCCTTGTGTGTTTTGTGTGTATCAGGCAGGACAGGACTTCCATGCGGACTTGTATCCGGACACCGTGGGTCACACCCCGGCCATGACGGCAGAGGACTGGTGGAAAGGAGAGAACAAACAGGTACTGACCAGTCAAAGGTCTGTTTAAAGCAACTCATTTCACTTCTGTGTTATTCATGGGGAAATCACTGGATTGCTTACAAAAAATTGGTCGGTATGACAGACGGTTGGAGGGGAGAGGATGAGAAATACGAGGGAAAAAGGGAAAGTCATTTCAGATTTATTTAACTCTCTAACACTTGCACTGCTACAGGTGGAGCGAGTCAGTCTTCACCCGAGCAAGAGGCCAAAACCGGCCACTCCGTCAGCTCAGGAGACGAAACCAAAGGATCTTCCCCGTGGCAAGAGCAAAGAGGTTTGTGGGAGGAACATGAGGAGAAAAGTTTTCTTTACAGAAATGATCTTCTTATGATGGTCTTGTCTGGTTTTGTCAGGAGGCCTCGAGCTCCAGCAGTCCCCTCAGCACCCCCAGCAGCAGTGCCGACCCGTCCCGCTCCCCGTCCTCCACCAGCGGCCTGTCGTCTGGCTTCCTGCCGAGCCCCAGCCAGAGCTCCCGCGCCATCCACAGCATGCTCGGTCAGTCACCCTGACTTTGTACGCATTTACATTTACTTAAATTAAACTAAATAACAGAGTTTTTTATTCAAGTAAAATATTTTATAATACAATATTATTATTGCAATAGTACTATATTTATTAATTTTCTTAATTTGTTTCCATCATCACTCCATATCTTATATATATATATATATATATATATACTGTGTATATGTAATATTATATATATAAAATTAAAATGATTAATTGTGTGTTTTTTTTTCTTTGTGCTCATTTCATCAAAAACTGTGGATTCTTGAATATTTAAAACTATGGGTTTTTGTAATCTTTTTTTTTTCTTTTCATTTTTAATCTTGTCAGCAATGACTGCCTAATGCCTATAATATGGTTATGTTTCCTTGGAATGAATAAATCATCCTTTAAGCTGTTTCTGAGCAAATACATAAATATTTATATACACTGCCATGTAAAAGTTGTGGGTCTATAAGGTTTAGTGCATGTTTTTGTCACATGATCCTTTAGAAATCATTCTAATATGCTGATTTCCTGCTCAAGAAACATTTCTTATTATCAGTGTTGAAAACAGTTGTGCTGCTTCATATTTTTGAGGAAACCGTGATACATTTTTATTCAGGATTCATTTGATGAACCGAAAGTTTAAAAGAACAGCATTTACTGTCAATTTTGATCAATTTAATGCATAATTTCTGAAAGTATTAATTTAATGCATCATTGCTGAAAGTATTAATTTCTTTCAAAAAACAAAATCTTACTGACCCCAAAATTTTATTTGAAGTGTATACATACCTGTACCAAATATCATCAAAAGGCTGAACCATATCAAAGTATAATGTTTTTAGCTGTGTATATCGCCCGGCTCTTGTAATGAATGGCTTTATGTGATTCTCAGGCCCGAGCTCGAAGTTTCGTCACATCCAGGGGGCCGTTTTGCACCGGGACACTCACATCACCAACCTGCGCGGGCTTCATCTGACCACACCGGGAGAGTGTGACGGCTTCTGTGCCAACGGCCAGCGCGTGGCAGTGCCTCTCGCCATCGCCGGAGGGCAGATCGCTGTGTTTGAGGTGCGATACTGCATTCATTTCTCTTTTCTTCTAAGTCTTTAAATGGCGTTTGGTCTCGTACTGTATCGCGTACCTTGTCAGTGTCGTGCGCTTTGCTTGGCCATTTGTTGGGATAAACAGGAAAGTGCCCAGATAGCAAAATGACTCCGGAGCGGATCCGCCCCGGAGTCACCACAAGCTCCGGAACGGATCCGCAAAACGGGTCCGTATCGGAGTCCACTTGCACAGCGCAACGGATCCGGAACAGATCCGGTCTAGACCCTACCC